AAGAAGTTGAAGAAGCTTGGGTTACTTTTGCCCTTCCCTACCAGTCTGTTTCCAGAACTGAAATCAAATAAGCCTTGAATAAAAGGTTCTGGGTTCCATTAATATACTAGGATTACTCACATCACTGCAGTTTCTCTAGCTTATTTGGAAGTCAAACCTGTCAAACCCTTTCTTGAAATAATTCAAATGGACTAGCTACAGAAGTGCAGAATCCAGCAGTTAGAGAGTCTGAAGATTGAGGAGGCGGTATAAAGTGTCTGAAAAGACGCTGCCATCTACAGGACACAAGCTGCACACTATAGGAAAGGGAATTATATTAAGAAGGTAAAGGAGGTAAATCAAAGAAAGCTAAGGCACAAAGGAAAAAGCAGACAAGGGAGATGAGCTGCATTTTGCTTATCATCAAAAAGAATTTCAGCCCTCTTCCCTGCAATATTACATCATCTAAAATTCTAATCAGTAAATCACTAACATTATTTTAGCTCAGTCTACTGACTTCAAATTGTACATTTCAAAACTCTTTCCTAATTTAACACTCTAGTATAGACCAAGAACTTTACAGAAATATCAGGCAAATACCTTCCATTTTGTAATTCCTGGCATCCTCTTCAAACCTGGCAACTCAGAAGAGACATCAGCAAGTTCTAAGGCACCTGAAAGCCCAAGAATATAAACATTTTTAAAAACAAAATTTGAGAATTGGACTCTTAATGAACTTTTATAAACATAATTCTCCACAAAGTCTTAAAACTTCATACCTGGAAAACATCTTTTTAAGCCTCTCAGGTAACAAAATGTAATACAATTACTGCAGCATAACTTAACAAGAAGGATGAGAAGAGCTGTTCACAACAACTCTGGAAGTTTACAACCCGTATAAATTAACCAAAAATTAATGGCTGGATATTTTTTGTAACAGCCTATACTGTTAAAACTATATAATTAAACATCATTACGCCAGGCAGTGCAGTTATGGAACAGTTTTTATTCTCGCCTTCTTGGTATTTGGAATTACTAGACTCATTAAGGGTTCTCCAGGGAAGTACTCTTTTGGGATGACTATGCCTTTTGAAATGCTGGATATAGTCTCATTTTTTGGATTTACAATCTTACCATAATCCAGTGTGAGAGGACTTTTTTTTTTTTTTTTTTAAGAAAGGGAAGGGAAAAGTCCAAACTGTTTAACAGGAAAATAAGTACTAACAGCCTAATAGAATAAAAGGCTATATGCCCCAAAAATATGCCATTTACTGCAAGAAACATTAGCAGAATTATCATTATTTAACCTGCTGATTAAAAACTTTGAGCAGCCCTGAGTCTAAAAAGAATGATATAAAAACTGACTGTTTAAGCAGGTGATGGCTCTAGAGAAAAATAACCTTAAACTTTTTTTCATGATTCTGAATTCTTTACTTAACAATTAGGTAGGCTTTTCCTCACACTATTCTGAATTTATCAGCCTGTTCTACATGAGCAACCATTTATTCTTACAGTGACTATGTGTATGTGACAGCTGAAGGTAAATCTTCCAAATAAATGAAAAAGTGGAATGGGAAATCATAGGCAAATGCCCCCCAAAAATGGCATTTTCAAAAGTGACTCAAGTAACTCAACATTTCTGCCTGTCCTTTGAATAATCCTGAATAACTCCACCATTACTTCAAACGATGGCTCCAGACTGCATCAGGCATTAAATGGTCCATCAGAAGTACTATAACTCCCAGCAGCAACACAAGGTACAAGTGCCTTTTCGTCACTCCTTCAGGCCAAAGGGGAAAGGTTTCTCATCTGCTCCACGGGTAGCAGTATTACAAAGCACCAGGAATGAAGACAGAAGAACCAGCAAACCTTCTGCACTGATTTTCATTTTATGAAGCAAATCCTGCAGGTCCAATGTCCCTAACAGACCGCTGCAGCACTTTTGCCCTTCCCTAAAGCTGCATCTACATCCAAGCCCCAAGGCAGACACTTGCTCTCTGGGACACGTCATAGCCTCAAAGTATGCTTAAAAACACCTCTACTGGGCAAAGACAAGATCCAAATGCCACAGCCCAAGGTTGCAGTGAGGGTCCTCACTTCCAAGCACTGAGTTTGTCCCAAAAACCGCATATGAACTGCCCTCAGTTCATATCCATACTGCTTGATCATCTTTAAATTAGTTGAACTCTAGCCTACCACAACCTTCAATAAGCCATACATATTGTAATTTACCGGAAATAGATCTATGCTGCTCTGACAGTCTGCCAAAGAAACTATCTTTAAATAAAAATGTCTTTTGATTGGAAAATATACAGTCAATTCCTAATTATCTGCAGGCATTTTAGCTGAACTGCTGTTTTAGAGACCATGACATTCCATGGATATGTAACTTGGGGCCAGAAGAGTGATTAGTATAAGGAAAATACTACACAGAGCAGGCTATTCTACTTCCAGGATCAGCTCAGCTCCAGAAATCATGTAGCTACTTTGCACAGTAGAAAGGTCAACTTAATAAACTCAGTGGAACTTTCCATGTAAAATCCAATTAGATGTCTCCGAACTTCAAGTTAGTGACTCAGAGAACAGCGTTCACCAGCACAGGCCCAGAAATGGGGGCTAGTCAACCCTACTATCTATCACAAGCTAAGGCAGTGCAGCTTCCCAGCTCATCTCAAATTTTCCACCTCTTCTTATCTCAGATGATGGAGATTCAACAGCAACTTTTATTAGCCTTCATATGCAAGTCAGAAATGCAGAAAAACATAGGCTCAAAGATATTAAGTTTATAAGGATGTCAAGATGCAGGTCAAAGGATGCTAAAGATATCAGTGACTCACCTGCTGGTGCACAATAACATTCCTCAAACTGCTTATATATGCTTGTGACCTATTCTAGACTTTTTACCCTTACGGCCAACAGCAGTAGGGTCCCAAGCTGTGCTATCCAAAGGAAACATGAATGTCAGACAGACTCCTGTCAGTGGAATCAGTCAGTAGAAGCCAAATAACAAAAAGGCAGTCTTTTTGTTTTGTAGAAGTCTTTTGCATATCATTAACAGAAATTCTTAAGGATTTCTACTCGCACCTGGCTTAGGCTCATTTGAGAAGTTTGCTTATATCAATGCCAATAAAATCCTAAAGGTGCTAAAAAAATACTGCAGTTTTGCAGACTAGGAACATGTTACCTATACTATGCTCATTACTCGTTCTATTATCCACATATCTTTTTTTCATGCCAAGAAAAAGAATCTCCCCATTTTCTCCAAGGTCACATTCTTACCTTGACTCTTCTCCAGTAGGGATGCAATCACAGCTTCATTTTCAATAGGATTCAGTGAACAAGTAGAATATACCATTCTCCCACCTTCTGCAAGCTGTTCAACACCACGAGTTGCAATTCTTAACTGCAATCTAACAGAACATTCTTCGTCTAGCCAGATATCACTCAGGAACCAGAAAGACTTCCCATAAAAATTTTTACAGGTGAAACTGTACTGCAGACATATTACTTTCCCTGGACTAAGTTAGCACATACTGAGTTCCATAGCTGTCACCAGTGCACAAATTAAAGAACGTTTGTAACTATGTCAGCTATTTCTATACTGCAGACATTTACAATTACACCTGTTACACAGCTACACATATTAAAACAGCAATTAGGTGAAGCATTAACATTTTTCCATAAATTTTAACAATACATTCTGTATTTTGTTCTATATAATAAACTTGATGGGTCACTATAAAATGTCTAATACTGGAAAAACAACCCTCAAACCCTACTCTTCTTCTCAGAAATCTAGAATTAAAATGAAGAGTAATCTCACTATTACAAATATTAATGACAATGCAGCTTAGCTACTATTTGCCTTCTGGGAAAAATATCACCAATACTGCATTATCAGCTTGTACCCTACACCTGCGTACTTACAACTAAAATAAAAGCTGCAAGTATGAATAATTTATCAAGCAGTAACAAGTTATCGTATGGCAGCGAGTCACAGTAACTGACCTGCATTCTTAGCTTCTTACAAACGCACAGTAAAATGTTCCAAGCTCCTTCACTTATGTTTAAATTACTGCTTTTTACCATGCATGCATCTGCACCAGGCTAGGTGCTCATTCACCATCAATTAACATAAATCATCCATTGACTGGTAATTGAAACTGTATGTATGATCTCTAATATCCTAATAATCGAAACATTACTGTCAAAATTTTACAAGTGCCTGTTATTTTATCAAGTATTTCCTAAAAGCATTTTACCTACCTAAATGCTAAGAATCCTATCCAAATGATTTTTTCCCTACTTTATTAGCTACCTTGTTTAAATTAATAACTCAGTGATTAATAGGCCAGGTAGTCATAAGAATACAAACAGTTCAGATTCACACACTTCACTAGAGATCAACCTCACATCTGAAATATTAACGCTTCCTCAGAAGAACACATAAGTGCTTATCCGAGAAGAAAGTGGCAACTGTTCTTAATCTCTGCTTTGTCATATATTAATATATGAATGCACGCAAATGCTGAAGAGACAGGAAAAGGAGGAGATAAATGAAATAACTGCAGAAGCATTATAAGCACTTTTACCCATGGAGCTGTAAACTATTTTGTGTAGTCCACTTCTTCCATACGTCAATGTTTTTCCTCATGGTTCCATCTCCACTACAACAGGGGTTGAACAGATTTGCATTACATGTGGATACAACTCATTTTGCATCAAAGTCATTCATATTAGCAAAACATTAACAGCTGCTCTCCCATATTAACTAGATTTCATATGTCATACTGTTTGCTTCTAAGCTGTCCTTATATTTCAATATTCTGAGCGTAAGGAGATCAAAATTCATAGCCTTTTAGCTAACCAAATTTAAGAACCGTTTGGAACGAAAAAAGTTTGCCTTGATTTGGTATACCCTTACCCAAGATTGTTTAACAGATTCATCTGTTTTGGAAGTCACTGTACACCATATCTCACTCAGTAACACCGAAAGAGTAACTTGCTAACAAAAAATTTCAATACTGCACTTAGTACAATAAAATCCGTGTACTGAAGAATACATGCAAGATACCTGCAGGGGACGTCACACAAAATCCTGTCATAGAAGAGGACCTCTTTTCTTCCATCAACGTCTATTTGTAGATTAGGGATGCTGGAGGCATCATGATTTACTACCATGATACATGGACTGTTTAACCTCTTAGCTTGATGAACCAGCAGATAGCAACGCTTGTTGTCAACATCATTAGCAATTACAAAACCCTCTGGAAACATAAAATATCAGGAAGATGCTTTACTATTCAATAGGAAAATAACTGTAAAGAGTTTACTGCCTCATATTCATATTTGTACAAGTCTTTCACTATTTTTTTTTAGACGACTTTCAGTAAAGGACTTTTACTGAACGTAAAATAAAGTCTCAAGATGTAGTCTCAAGATTTCTAGCTTCTGTGCAGTTTATATTTTTCATTCTCAAAGTAAAGCCCTCATAAAGAGAGAAAACTTCCACTATCCCCAAAGACAGAAAATCTGCTGACTTGCAGAGATTGTATAACAACAACAAAAACAACAAAAAAACCACAACTAAAAACTCAATCTCATAGTTTCTATGGGCAGTGTTTTCTGTGAGCATCTCACTGAAAGTAAAGATTCTAAAACTTAAAAACCGATAACTATGATACCCTTTATTTTATGATTGACGCAATAAGTCGCTCACAGGACACCACTAAAACATAAGCACTCGTGGGGCACTATCCAATTAAACAAACCTAGTTACTACACAAACATTAAGTTCTGATCACACTTAGTAGTCTGAACTGTGAAAACATATAATCCATCTCTCTATTTCAAGTCACGGAAGCCCACAAAGTTTCAAGGAAAAGACGGAGGTAAAGCAAGATGCAGAGAACGGGATACACACGCACTGCCTGAATTGCGGGAAACTACCTAGACATAATCTTTAAAGAATCTGAAATGCATTCTATGCTTATTGTCCCCTTTCATCTAACCCCAACACTTAGGGAATTCAGTTAAGTGCAATTATTATTTATCTACGATATTAAAAATAATCTTCTACAGGAAGAAAATGTAAATTTAAAGTCACAAAAGTTTCACGCATTTTTTCCAAACTTACTGGGAAAAGGAACGTTCATGTCTGCATGTAACATTTCAATAAGTTGTGCAGTCTTAGATCCAGGTGCAGCACACATATCTAGAACCTACAAAAATCAGGAAGTTAAAAAACCTTACCTTTTATTTTTAATGTACTCAAGAAATTAAATGTGGGCTCTTGTTTAAACTGAATATTTTTGTATAAGATTGCAGAATCACGGTTGTTCTGCACATAGCTTTGCAAAAAAAAGTACACTTTTGCTTTTTATATGCACCAAGGAATGCAGAGTCCCAAATACAAAAGGCAATCAGTTTGTAGGGCACAAATATATCAGTTGACAAAACAATTTGAAAAAGAAATCTGAACATAGACACAGGGACATGATCCTTTTATCAACTCACAAAAAATTTTGCCTGATATTAATTGGAGCTTTACACACACTCACACACACACAAACACACACTCACACACACACAGAGATTACAGGTAAACTTACCTTCAAGAGCAAGTCACACTTTTCTTTAACTATCAGTAAATTAATCAGAGAATATTTGACAGGTAATTATATATATTTTGTAAAAATGGTTACTATCCTCCCTACATATTTGCATTTTAATGCAAAAATCAAGGCAGCATAAACTGGTACTACTATGCCCCAGAAGAAACACCTGAAAAGTATTCAAACCACCTTCAGGCAACACAACACTCAAGCCACTAAAGACCTGATCGCTAGCATATTTCTTGCTCCTGGTTCATCACAAACTTTGCTTGTGATTGAGTCACTTACATAGTCACTCTCACAGCAAACAACTTGACTGCTAACACTGTTTTCCTGAGGAAGGAAGTTTAGAGTTTTTCCTCTTGCTTGGTTACAGATATTCACAAAACAGAAATCTAGCTATGTTCTGGATCTTTAGCAGTAAAAGTTAGCTGAAACTGGTCAATAGGATAAAAGATGGGGAGAGAAATACAGTAAGTAAATAGAAAAACTATCTATGATAAGCACTGTTGACATAAAAATATGTATGAACAGGTCTTCAAAACATATAGATCTGAAGTTTTAAAACTTCTGATCTAAGAAAGGATTGCACAATGCGGCCCCTTGAGATAGCAAAGGACTTTAATCAATGACTCAGAAATACTCTTTTTGTATCCTTTGCACATTTGGTGGACTAGCCAACAAGAAGTCGCTACCGTCTAGGTTTAATGCACAATAATCTTGAATAAAGAAAAATTCCTAGCACTTTTAACTAGCTCACTAACACAGCCTGAGAGAATAAGACCACCTGACAGTGCAAACAAGTGCAACTGGCAAATAAATGTAGCATATTAAAACATCACTAATGTCAGAACAGGACATTTGCTACCAGTTCTGCCAAATATCATTCCTACAATCCGCCATAAGAAAATATCATAGGCATTCCTTAGTCATCTCACTTAGAAGCTAGCAATCTATAATCTTTAGCAACTATTGATAGCGTGTTTCACCTCACCCAAATGACTTCGCCTAACAGGTTTATGGAGCAACTTCTTCAAAAGGCGTGCAGAAAGGAAAACTAACTTGTAGAAAATACTGTCATTTAGAAAGGATGCCTGTTCCCAGTGTGCTGGATAGCAGAGTTAAAAGTACTTAGTTATCCTTCTTTAAAAAGGAGCTGAAGCATGAATATATTAACTTATATACAACTAAGTGCAATCACATTTTAAAAGTAAGATTATGCAACTAATGAGTATTTCTTATGTGGTATTGAACATAGCCGATCCTTTGACAACGTACCTATGATCTGAACAATAGTTAATTGCTGTTGTCTACATGCAGAAAGCATGAAACATACTAATACATAAGATGATAGCAGTACAGATGCTGAAACAATTTCTAGTTTAATCAAAGTATCTTCTCAGAAAAAATTCCAGTACACGGTATATTTTATATTTACCTTATGATGAGGGTTAACATCCAGGAGCAGAGGTGGGATCATACTAACAGCTTCCTGACGACTGATATTTCCCTTGAAAAACAAAAACAAAAGTCAGAGACACTCATTTTTATTCCAGAAACGGAAGCATTTCTTCTGTTTTTACATATATATTTATGTGTTCATGTATATACATGTGTGAATATATAAAAATAAAATAATTTGTTACGGTATAATAATAAAAGCAGTCAGAAACACAGTTATAAACTTGGAAATAATTTTTTTAGCACTCAACACTAAACATAAACATGAGGTAAACAGGAACTTATCGGAAAATTCAGTTGGATGAAACACTGTGGTTTTATTAATTCTATGGACGTATTTGCTCTCAAAAAAGAGAAGAGAAACTGGCTTCAGCCAAGTACAAGAGAGAAACATCCATTCTTAGTATGTACATACCATACTCTTTTTCCGAAGACTCAAATGTCAGTTTTCTAACAGTAATTAATTATTTTAGAGGCGTATACTGTCACAATCCCAAACAAAAATGGAGATTAGTTTAGATCCAATATATGTAAGTGCAGTTCTGTGCCTGGAACTACAGGATGATTCACTGTCAACAGCAATACAGGCAAATATCCAAATTTTCCTGAGCTCATCAACTTTTGAAAGAAAAGGTACAGTCAATTTCCAATAACGTTTGGAAAAAACACTCAGCGCAGCATATAAAGAAATAACCAAGGCCTGTCAGAATCAACCGCCCTTAAACTTACACATTCTGTCTCGCTAACCAGAAACTGATGAAACTTTTCCAGTTCTGGTGATTTGCGCAAGATTTTTCTACTCAAGTTAGTGTGCCAGGCTAACTCTTCCGGATACCTGAAAAAAAGAAGGCAGAAAAAGGGTAGAGGCTAGCGAAAGGAAAAAGAAAGAACAAACACCGCAAACTAGACAAGGTGAACCCGCAGAGCGCCTTAGCTCACTTACCAGCTGAGCGACTGCGGCATTTCAACTTTTTGGCCATCTACCTCCAGGTCCTGCAGCTCTTTGAAGTACTTGTTCTTCAGGCAGTGCAGAATCTCTTTAGCATGGCTAAAGGAGAAAGAGGGTTTCTGAGGAAAACGAGATTAACGCCCACCTCTTCAGACGACCGAGCCTGACTGCCCTGGAAGCAGTGGCTAGCGGAAAGCTTGACATAAACCCCCCTTCGCGTCGCATCTCCACCCGCGCGGCCCGCGGGCGACTGGCTGCCGCCCCTCGCGGCGGGCCCG